TTTGTCCCAAACCAAGAGCATTATATCCCTTGCTGAAGCATTATAATCAGCATTATAAGGCAGTTTTTGGAGCATTATGGTTAGCATTATACGAACATTTTCGGAGCATTATCCGCTGGACCCTAGCCATAATCCCCCCTGAAAAGGGTGGTTTAATAGTATGGATGTGTGTGTGTGTGTGTGTGTGTGTGTGTGTGTATTATTTATTTATGGTGCATTGGTATGTGCAGCGATTTCCAATCGATAGGTTGCGGGTTCGATTTCCGACGATTGTGGTCACACACGTCTTTCTTCTCTTTCTCAGACTCTTCCTGACTTTTCTTTCATTCTCCTGGGTGGTTACCAACAGCCAGTGTATGCCAGAGTATGTGGTGTGGTGTGTGTGTGTGTGCGGGAAAAAAAAGAAAGAAAAAAAGAGAAAAAAGACCAAAAAGTAGGGATTCACTGGCCAGAAAAAGCCACTTCATAGCTGTGTGGTGTAGACCAGGCTGAATAGTGGCGGTCAATTCTTCAGCCTTGCAAGCTGTTGAATGGTGCAATCCCAGCATAAGCTGCTATGGCTTCTGCTGTAGCATCGCTATCATCGCTTCCGGCGATGGGCGTCCAATGGTCCAATGGTGTGTGTGAGTGTGTGTTAGGCACCGGCGGATTATGCCCGCAAAATCATGGAATTATGCTTTCATGGATTCTCGCATTATGCTCGCAAAATCATCATAATTATAATGGTTTGAGAAGACGAGTTCGAGCACACAAAATGTATTTCCATGATTTCTACCCTGCTTTTCATTGAAAACACTATCTGCATGACCTCCGAGCCCATTACCATGCAGACCACCAGCACTGATCAGGTGCATTGTACACAATAGTGTAGCCTACATACATGTACTAGAACTGTGATACAATCATGCAGTTATCCTCCTACCTCCGAAAGGATGCCAAATTATGCTCCAAATTTTCAACCACCAAATTATGCCAATAATTATGCCGGCATAATCCGCCGGTGCATTAGTGTGTGTGTGTGTGTGTGTGAGTATGTGTGCAGGTGTGTATATAGCACTTCTGTACTGACTCGTGAGTGAGAAAAGAACAAGGGTTGGCGGTTGTACATGTTAGCTAATTTAATATTATGGTACAAAAGGAGAAGAAAAACATGTTACCAGTTACATGTACACATGTACACATGTACATAATTATGACTAACTGACCACCAACGTAACCAGATCATAATTTTACAATCAGCGAGTGCGACAAAATGGCACAAAACTGACCAGGAGTACTGTACTGAGACATTCAGAGACCTGACACTTGATGAGAAGGGAACGAAAACGTTCAGTTTAACCAAATTGGCAGCTTCATGCATGACACCGTTGTCGACCGACAATTATGCTTGTAATGCCAATTTTGCATGCGAAATGCTGTTATAATGCCAGCATTATGCCACCTGGAAAAACGGGACTATAATGCCAGCCATAAATTAATGCTAGCATTACCCGCCAATGCCTATGGATCGTATATTTACTAAAACGATTCAAGTAGCCTATGAAGAGTAAAAGAAATTGAACCAATGACAACAAATACTCGTCCAGCACAAGAGTTGTCATAGCAACACAAATAACAGCGGTCCACTAATTTTGTTGTTGGAGATAGTATTGTATTGTATTTATTTAAAAGGATTCTCCAAAAGCAAATGGATGCTTATCGCGGAAGTCTCCCACATAAATATCGCAAGAAAAATGGGGAAATGGGGGAGAGGAGAGTGGAAGATGAAGCATGGGAAGAAGGGAAACAAGTACCTAAATAAAAAATAAATAAAAAAAAAAAAGTAAATTATCGTGTCCGTTCCCGAAGGGAACTCACGACGGCCGCTAACACCCGATAAACCCTAGCGGCAGATGCAGCGCAGCGCCTAAGCGCCTAAATAGCGAGGTATAAAAGCAGGAAAGAAATTGACGAGGGAAGAAATCACCTCTGCAGATAATAGCGGGACATTTAGATGAATAAAAACCCAGCAAGGATTAATTTCAAGGAAAACAAATTTCTCAAACGGAAAAGTTCGGAATTCCAGTCAGGGAATATCTATGCTGTGAGTAATGAGCCTTTAGAGCAATGCGAAAATTGACAGAGGACTGAACGCAGCGGATGTGTTCTGGAAGTTTGTTCCATTCCACAGATAAACTGAAGAGAGGGGACTTAAGGAAATGGGCGCCAGAACGAGGTAAAACTATAGAGGACGGGTGACGACAACTAAGGGATACATTGAATTTGAAACGAATTAGCAAAGACGGAAACTGGTAAAAGACATGATGAAAATACAGCAAGGACAGAATCTGACGACGCCACTTCAGGGATGACCAGTCACAAGTACGATTAAGAATCTGTTTCGGGGTTTCCCACTCAGGAGGGTGCCGGGTCTTACAAAGCAGATATGAACGAGCAGCAACGGCTTGCAGTCGGTCTAACGTAAGCGAATCTGAATGGGATACGGCGAATGACCAGACAGGGACTGCGTATTCTAACAGTGGTCGTACGTAACACTTGTAGAGCAAATTCACGGTTGAAGCAGAAAGGAAATGGGCCATATGGCGCAACAGAAAAACACGACTGCGAAACTTATGGGTGATAGATTTTATATGGTCAGAAAAATTTAGTGAAGGAGTGATAGTCACGCCGAGATGACAGCGGCTATCACCTTTCTGAATAGGCACACCGTTCATTGTCAAGGGGGATCACGGGCCGGGGGCTAATGCATATTTTTGAAAGGGTAGGTGGACGCATTTACTGGTGTTAAACGAGTAGGAGTTGTTACTGGTTGATTCTAAATACAATAAATGAGGAGGCCGAGGGTTTATGACCAATAAAAACTATTATAAAAACCTCGGTCCCACATGTACAACCAGTAAAAACTCCTACTCAATCTCCAACAACAAAATTTGTGGACCGCTGTTATTTGTGTTGCTATGACAACTCTTGTGCTGGACGAGTATTTGTTGTCATTGGTTCAATTTCTTTTACTCTTCATAGGCTATCAGATTATTTTCCTTATTCGGTCTATTTATAACCAGTACGTGAGTTCCCTTCGGGAACGGACACGATAATTTATTTACTTTTTACAGTGTGTCTATAATGAGAGTGCGGGCTGTCTCCATGGTTACCGGTGTTCATTTCATAACTATAGTCTATAGCCACTTCTCCTTGTGAGACCTTATCTGGAAGGCCCATTCTTGCATACTCCAACAGCAGCCAAGGGAGCTAGCTCTCTTGGTTATGCGGTCTGCGTCCGATCCTAAAAGTTTTATGAACTTTTTTTATGAACTGTTTTTATGAACTGTTTTTATTGGATAGGATATGATTTATGTTGAATAAACGAGGTTTGTGTCAATGGGAGATTGACTTAGAGTTTTTACGAGTTGATTCTAAGTAATAATAATATTAATATTTTAATAACCGACGAGGAGACAACAGTCGTAAAATAGCAATGAAAAATATCAATTGTGCACTCATAATCATGTATAAACAATTAAAATGAAACAATTCCAGAACGTTTTCGTGTGACCATCATCAGTGGAACATCGTCACATAGCAAGAATCACTAAAACAACCAGTTATATAGCTAGAGTAACATGAAAAGAAGCGTGAGAATGCAGCACAGCTAGCGGTTATGCATAACGCGTGTAGTGTGAACCTTTGCAGTGTATCTGAGAATGGTAGCAGTAGATGAATGTGGCAGCTGTGAGTGCGTGTGAACAAAAACTGGTGAGATACACTGCAAAGGTTCACACTACACGCGTTATGCATAACCGCTAGCTGTGCTACATTCTCACGCTTCTTTTCATGTTACTCTAGCTATATAACTGGTTGTTTTAGTGATTCTTGCTATGTGACGATGTTCCACTGATGATGGTCACACGAAAACGTTCTGGAATTGTTTCATTTTAATTGTTTATACATGATTATGAGTGCACAATTGATATTTTTCATTGCTATTAATATTTTAGTGCTCTAATAGCAAGAGTACATAACCCCCCAGAGTGTGCAACGCCTGATCCAGCTCTGTATACAGGTATAGGGTCTTGGTCGAGCGGAATCGGATCTTTGCGTCATAATACCGTACACATCTGAGGGGAACCCGGGGAGTCGCGGGTACTCTTGGATCAAAAACAATGGTGCCCTGCCTCGAGACCGGCCTTGAGCTGGTGTGGAGTGTACGCATGACATCAGAAGATCCGATTCCGCTCGACCAAGACCCTATGCAGAGCTGGATCGGCGTTGCACACTCTGGGGGGTTATGTACTCTTGCTAATAGGGCTTGAAAGTGATGACGTCAAAACGGCCAGGGAGTAGTAAGTTGACATCAGATTTCTATTTTTGGATCCACTAAGGTGTGACTTTGCTATTGCCTAAGTATGTGGGTGCATAGCAACCCCCTCGTGTCGCATGCAGGTGTGACTTTTATTTCGCCACCAGTTGTAACCCCGCCCCCAGTAGCCAAATCAGTCAGTTTCACTGGTAACATCACCTTGCTGAGAGTAAGACGGCTTGAAATGTGCTTGGATCCATACAAAAACTGGATCCAAGTGGATCCAATTTTTGAAATTTTGAAATTGTTGCTATGCTGTGACGTAGCACTTTCAAGCCCTATAGTACTCTTGGCTAGCATGCCACGCGAGCGTGACTCCTGGCATGGTGACTGCTCGCTATATAGTCGATTTATAGTAGTCACGGGACGGCGCGTGTAGGGACTTGCAGGGGAAATCCCGGGGAGATCATTACGCTGAGCTGAAAACTGGCCCCAAACCTAGTCTAGCTAGAATCAGTACTACTGACTAGTAGTACACTCGTGTACTAATCTTACTACTACTACCGGTACTCAAGTCAAGGCGAAGAGGCGTTCTTGAATCTTGTACTGTAAGTAATTTAGTTGTAGATGTACCACAAGAAAAAATTTCGGCTTTCCCGCCGTAGCCTTTGCGTACCTGACATGATTGTATTCTCCTCCACAACAGTGAAAATATCCGATCAGTATCACAGTCATAATCTACAGACAAGCGATTTAGGAGGCGCTCGAGGATTGAGTAAATATTATTATGTCAGGGGCCGCAGCTACCGGCGGGGAGGAGAAGGTCTTCAATGCCGAAGATAGGAGGGTTCGAGTCCTGAATCCTAGGAAAACTCCCGCCGGGGCCGGGGGTCACCCAGTTCACGCCTCCATTTTCCAAGTACGTTCAGCGTGCCAAGCTTGCAACCAGGTAGCGCCTGCCACGTGCTTCATGGTCGAACAGCTCAACAAAGGCGCTCATCCCTGCTACTATTTCACGACTGCCGCACACGTTATTTGTTGCAGCGATTGTGGAGAGTATTGTTGGATTCAGATTGTGTACGAATGGGATCCCAAGGATTCCAAACCCAGTAGCACGTTCCTGCCGGATGAAACCTTTGTCGAGGAAAACAATGACCGAGGATGGCTGCGGGTGCCCGAAGACTACGTAAAGAACTGCGGAGAAGGCAAGGGAGACTGGGATCGCTATCTGTATGATTATGGCATTATTGCTCTGCGCAAGGACAACTTGGAACAGAGACTAAAGGATGAGCTTGACAAGCTGAGCGGTGCAAATGCAATGGTGCGCAAACCAATGGCTCAACAGCCGCGTATGGAGTCTGTTGACCAGGCGTTCCTGTGTGGGTTTCCTGGAGAGGTCAAAAAAGAGGCTGTGCGAGGTCACATGTACTGGATGCCCGTTGACAAAGCCAAGAAAGCTGAACCGCTACTGGATGACATCGGCTTTAAAAAGCGCAGAGGCCAGGAGAGAGAGACCTCTGCACTGTTCGCTATGCCGCAACGTCATACGAATGACGGTGACGGCGACGGAAACAACAAAAGCAGCAGCAACCAGGATATTGTTGTCAAGCGACTCTACCGTCACTACATTGATTCAAGCGGTGGACAGAGCGGCTCGCCCATATACTCCTACAACGATGAAGAAAAGGAGTACGTCGTTTACGGCATTCATGCCGGATACTGGCGCTTTGACGATGCCAAGTCAAATTTGTACTGCAATGTAGCAGTGCGGATCCAGGAGGTCTACAAAGACATGAGTGAGTGGATCGAACGGAAGGAGGCCGACAAGCACACTGCCAAGCCAGCTCAGAAACATTCCACAGAAGGTAAGGTTCATTCCGTGAGACATGAGACTACTACTAAGTAGTTCAAAAAGCTAGGACCGTTCTACAGTAGAAATCAATTAAAAAAACCACAATTACCACAAAAGACGGCAAGGATGACTGCGAAAGAGACGGCAGGAACAGTAAAATAGCAACAGCAACGACCACGACAACCACGACGACGACGACGACAACAACAACAACAACAACAATAACAACAACAGCAACAACAACAACTACAAAAAGAAAAATTCACGGTTCGCGTGAGACTCGGCTGGAAGCCGGGCTTTCCGCATACGTAGGAACGCCACCACCCTTCAAGGATCAAGACGCAGATTCAGCTCCTAAAGCGGTGGGAGGTGAGTAGATCAGCTCACCAGCAAGTGGTCAAAGACCGAAAATCCCATTCACTGCATCCATATTTTCCTCGTGCCAGGCCACGAGTTCCCAATTAACTGTGGGTCGCAGCACGGCTGGAAAAATGCTTCCGCTTCCAAGCAGGACTTGAACCTGGTACCCTCTGTTTCTCAATCATGATCTTAGACCATCACACTATGCCTGCCTGCACAACAACTACAAAAACTACAACAAACGTGCAGCCACAATCTCACCCTCTTACCCAATAATTCCGGATTCCCACTAGGCCGATTTTGCAGCAGACATGGAATTGTATGACAAAATCGTGAAGACCGGTGCGAAAATTTGCATGGTGTAAGGTTTCGACCAATCTGCGGCGAGTCTCTTAGTGCTTGGATATGGTGGTGCGAGCCTCTGACCAATCACTATTGGCTTGTCACCATGACAGCAGAGAGTGTCGGTGCAGATCCTTAACTGGCTGCACTTGATCGCTACTTGACGCCAGCCCTTCACGCTGTTGACTTTGCAGCTCGTGTAAAAACGATCTCATTTCCGCTCTGGCGTCTACTACGGTCTAGCATGGCTGCCTACCATGCGTACGTGTGTCCACAGAGCGCCACAGGCCAGCAAGAACAATCGCTTGTCATTCGTTGTGTGTGAACCGGTAGTCCGAATTATCCGACTTAGACAGCCGATTTCATGTTGAAGTCCATATCATGCCTGGTCTCTGCTAGGTCGAGATTTTGGCCGATCGTGGTTTATCGATTATGGAATCATACAAAAATTCCTCAAGATTGGTGCGAAAATAACCTGGGGTGGACGGTGATGTCGCATGCGTTTTCGACAAATGTGCGTGGGTTTGTGTGTATAGGTCAGATCCAGTTGGCCGATCTCATGTGGAAGTCGGTATCGGAGCGTCGACCAAAATATCGGACAGTGTGGACCAGGCATAAGAGCATCGGCCGAAAATTTAGCCTAGTGGGAACCTGATATTACCCTTTTCCCATTGCGATTAAAATTATACATGCCATAAAAGCCCCTGTATACGCCCACTCGAAATTACGCCCACCCTCCGTGTACACGCCCAGTCAGGGGAAGTCAACACTTTTGTTTCAAAATAGCGCCCATGCCCATGTATACGCCCAGGTATGCTGGAAACACCAGTACATGTACAGGTACTGATACCCAATTCTTACGGCTAACCTCATTCCAAGTATACGCCCGGTTCCAAAATAATGCCCGTGCCCTTGTATACGCCCAGGGAATCGAGGCTGCTATTCTATACGCCCGGGGCCAATGCGCGGGCTTTTACGGTGTTTCTATTGGCTACAAATTTTTCCAAAAATAATTTTAAAATAAACATTTTTGTAAGAATTTTTAGCCAAGAGACCGTTTTGGGGAGTGGTGTATAACTGTGTGAAACATGAACTCTGGCTACAGTGGAGTCTGCATACCCTTACGAACTATACATGTAACAAGCATAAACCATGACTTTCTTCCCAGTGCATAATATCTAGGCCCGCTCGCGAAACCAATTTAATACAGTCGTCCCTCTCTAATCCGGCACCTTTTGCTACGGCGTTTTCTGCTGGATTAACGAGGGTGCTGGATTAAGAAATCCTGCCCTCTGACCCGGCCCTACCCAATTGCATGCATGTATCATACATGTACGTCAAAACGCAGGGTTTTCCGTGTCGACCCAAGTATTTGGTGCACGGCTTTATATTCTCAATTGTTCTCCGGGAATATACACAGTGATAAAGTGATAAAGTAAAACAGAGAACATGTTCACATGTACTCTTGCACACGCACGCACACACACACACACACACACACACACCTGAAAATTGGCAGGACACTACTCCTTGCTAAAATAAGAAAGTATGGTTGACTGCTTAGCCGTTGTCTCCTGGACAACATTGACCAGACTGGCCCAGCCTGGCCTGGCAAGGAGTGCACCTAGTACTGTACGATCGTACTGCCGGATTATGAAATCAAACTACGTGCAGTTTGAGTGATTCGTTTCAAAAAGTCACTGCCGGAGGCGGAATTCAAGTGCCGGAATAAGATGTAGGAATTGAACGAAAAAAATCTGTTTCGTCAGAAAGTGCGCCGGTTGGCAAGGGTTCCGGATAAACAAGTGCCGGATTAGAGAGGGACGACTGTACTGAATACCGCTGTTTGAAGATCTCTAGGATGCAAGAAACGTGAACTTACAGCTATGTAATGTAGACAGACCTTAGCGTTCAGTGTGGGCATATTGCTCTGCACATAATTTGTGCGTGAAGCACTTGGCTTGAGCTGCTCTGATTGGCACTGTGTGTGTATATGTGTGTGTGTATATGTGTGTATGTTGTGTGTGTATGTGTGTATGTGTGTATGTGTGTGTGTGTGTGTGTGTGTGTGTGTGTATGTGCGTGTGTGTGTGTGTGCATGTGTGGGTATGTGCCTGTCCAATGTACTGGCTGTGTTGTTTGAAGGATTCGTTGAGAAGAAACAACCTAGCTATCTGTTTGGCACTGGAATCGAAGGAATGAAGAAATCGAAGTCAGGAACGTAAGTGTATGCACTGTGTAATGTGTGTGTGTGTGTGTGTTCATGCGTGTGTGTGTGGGTGTGTTTGTGTGTTCATGCGTGTGTGTGTGTGTGCGTGTGTGCGCCCGTGTGTGTGTGTGTGTGTGTGTGTGTGTGTGTGTGCGTGTGTACATGTGTGCGTGCACGTTGCGTGCCCCCGCGTTACTGCGAGGTTTGTGTGTATGTCCTGTTGTGGACATGAAAATCCAGTTGGATGACCGGGGCCGGCACCTTCAATGCGTACAGAACATTACGTGCAGTGCACATGTTGATCCGAAGCGACTAGCGCGCTGCAATGCATAAATGCATGTGTGTACCGTGTACACACGGCTGCATGGCCAGTGCCCTGGAGCCGCTAGATGTGCGATCTGATTCCCATGTCCACGACAGTAGCTTGGTGGACATGATTATTTGTATGTACAGTACATGTTCGTGAGAATATGTGCATGTGTACGCGTGGGCGGGTGTGTGTGCACTTATGCAGTCATGGCAACAGGTGTATGCATTTCGGTGTCCACTATTCATACATGCCAATACACGCGCTCGTGCATGCAAAAACTAGTATTTAGTGCAGAGCATGTGAAAACGGCGCAGGCAGGCAGGCATAGTGGGATGGTCTAAAACCATGATTGAGAAACAGAGGGTACCAGGTTAAAGTCCTGCTTGGAAGCGGAAGGAATTTTCCAGCCGTGCTGCGACCCACAGTTAATTGGGAACTCGTGGCCTGGCACGAGAGTAACATGGATGCAGCTAATGGGATTTCGGTCTTTGACCACTTGGTGGTGGGTCTGATCTACTCACCTAGCTAGCCTTAGCTCTAACTTTCATAGAAAAAACTAGTGGAAATCCATAAACAACATTTTAATTTTAATTTAACCATGCCGTGGTGGGTCGATTTTTAGTTCACAGGTTTCAGCCACAAATGATGTCAAGTTCGAACTTCGAAAGCGATTTTGTCCGTTAGAGTCAAACACAGCTGAGCGCCCTTTCACGTGAGCTGCAGCATTTATTTATCCTTTCAGATTCTATTTGCCATGAATAGCTGATAGATAACACATTTTCATGTCTGTCTCTTCTCCTTTGCTGTGTGTTTTCAGTGAGGATGCCGGTGAACCTGACGAAGGTAAGGTATCTTTTAAATCACTTGGCATGGCTGTATGTATGTATGTGTGTGTGCGTGTGTGCAAGTATTCCCAGTTGCCTTGTGTGTGTATGTGTGTGTCTGTCTGTCTGTGTGCCGGTGTCACGGTATGAATGTGTATGTTCGTGTGGAGTGGCCCTGGGTGCACATCTAGTGCATTTGCAGATTTGCATGCTTCTCTTGTGACGGGCGTATACATGGGACATGGTACATGGGATTTGTGTGCTTCTCTTGTGATGGGCGTATACATGGGGCATGGCACATGGTATGCGGGTGAGGGGGGGGGGGGGAGGGGGGGGGGTGCATGTTTCTGTGTGCTTGTAACAGTACCATGTGACCTAGTCTACTGAAAAGTCACGATTCACTGCATTTTGCACAACATAACCATTCTAAAAGGAAGTTTCTGCTCCGAACATCGGAGCTCGTGCTTCCTGCCAAATGACGAGCTGTGATGCGAGCTCTAGCTCCGAGCTCCGGCGTTTGGACCAGACACTTTCTTTAGCAATTACCACCAAAATCGTAACAGCTTTGTTCAGACGCCCATTCTCAGTAGCGCACACGCATAGCATACCCTGACGATGACGAAGATGTGAACTTTTAGTCACATATCACTGTGTGTTACTTATCACTGTGTGTTACTATGTCATTTGCTGCACAGTGTACCTGGCTAACCCCTTTGACGCACCGCTGTTCGTCAGTGAGATCCAACCATGGCTTCAAAGCGTGCCCGCCGCAGGTCTACGTCAGAAGTGCCAGCGACAGGGTCTCCTCAGTATGTCTGATATTCAAGATCTACAGCTGACTGAGAGAAACCGAGGCGGTCCTGCGCACAATCACGATCTAATCTTTATGATATTGGCTCACGGGCGTGAAGGCTATATCAAGCTCTGCCATGCTGTCAAGGAGATGCGATATGAAACAAGGCTCGGTCAGATGAACTTACTCCTGCCCCCGGATAAGCGTGTCTAAGCCCACGCGGTGAGGCAAAGAATGAAACAGATTTCTTGGCATAGCACCACGCTGTATTGTCTGCGAGTATTTTCCTGTACTTCTTGCTTTCTAGAAGTAAGCTAGCAAATCTCTCTCTCATGCACTCTCTCTCTCTCTCTCACTCTCTCTCTCTCTCTCTCTCTCTCTCTCTCTCTCTCTCTCTCTCTCTCTCTCTCTCTCTGTCTCACTCTCTCTCTCTCTCTCTCACTCGCTCACTCTCTCTCTCTCTCTCTCTCTCTCTCTCACTCTCTCTCGCTCTCTCTCTCTCTCTCTCTCTCTCTCTCTCTCTCTCTCTCTCTCATTTTCTCTCTCTCTCTCTCTCATCTCTCTCTATCTATCTATCTTCTCTTTCTAGTATGATCATCCTCAATTTCCATCTGTACACTTTTCTAGTCTTTCGCACTTCACCTTCATTCCTCCCATTATCTTTCACATAGTGCATTTCGTATTCTTCCACGTACATATTGTTGTTTTTTGCTAGATTTCATTATTCAGACGTATTTCTCTGATGAATGTCTGTAGAAATCGTGTTAGGAATTTTTATTATCCATCTTTTATTTTTGTTGATTACTACGTCCAATGTCCGCCTCGCTGATTCTGCTGATTGCCATAACGAAAGAGCTTGGAAGCTCAGGGCCCTACGCTATGCTATTTTGCCTTGATGACCTAGGCAAAAAAAGCATTGAGATGTTATAAATTTTGCATTTCTCCTATTATTATTTCAAGACATAACCTGGGATATGAACCCGCACTATCGCCCTGCATGCATCCCCCGATACACTTCGCAAACATACTAATTCTTCCAAGTTGCTTCACGTTATGATCTTGCATTTGAAAGCCCTATTTGAATATTGTGGCCAGCTGTTTGTGGCAAGCCGTCTTTGATGGTACGGACGGTACGGGACAGGTACGGTCGAGGGTAATACGACAATGTCTACCACCTTGATGACCTAGGCTGTGTTTACATGACGCATTACGCTTGACCCGGGTTGAAATTTCGCCCCGGGTCAACAAAATCGTTCTAACGTACTTCTGTTCGTATCTCGTGCCAGGTTTGAACAGCACTGCATAAATTATGCGGATTCACGTGACTATACAGGACTATAGAAGTGGACTTTTGGCGGCATATCAGTATTTGACCCGGGTCCACTGTCTTCATGTAAACGCTCACCTATTTTGTCTATCGTTCAGACTTTCAACCCGGGCTGAACTCGACCCGGGTTGAAATTTCTCATGTAAACACAGCCCTAGGCAAAAAAAGCATAGGGATGTTATAAATTGTTCAACTCTCCTATTTCTTTTTCAAGGCATAACCTGGGATTTGAACCCGCACAATAGCCGTACATGCATTACCCGATACACTTCACATTCATACTCACTAGAGAGTTTCCGGGGTACGATTTTGCGCGCCAAAATCCGGATGGGCGCTACGGATATTTTCCCGGCGTGCTCCACATGATTTTTCGGGGCGGAGAATCCGTGTGGACTGGCTTTCATACGAACCATGTTTCGTATGGAGATCTTGCGTCATCGGGTGCAGAAAGATTTTTCGCGTACAAATTTGGTACGAGAAACATCGATTTTCGGCGGGAAGTTTTGATTTCGGTACAAATTGTCAAAATAAAAAGGCATAGCGCGGGAATGTGACGTGTTTGCGATCGTAACCTAGGCAATGACGGCAAACACACGAAAAATCGTACTCTGGAACCTCCCTCCACGTTATGATCTTGCATTTGAAAGCCCTATTTGAATATTGTGGCCAGCTGTTTGTGACCAGCTGTCTTTGATGGTACGGGACAGATACGGGACAGCGCGCTTTTAATTTAAGCCTAGTTCACATTCGACGCAACGCCGACGGTACGTAAGGGCTTGTCGGGAGGGCTGGGGTGAGCTTTAAAATCCTGTACGATTCGTACGACACGACATGCGGCAGTCGTTGCGACGTTCAACGTCGAACGGCGCGAGTCATAAGGCACGGTCCGTGACGGGATGACTTTCAGACTTAATTTCTCATTTTTCGGGACTTCTTTCCAATTATTTCTCCTTGAAAGAAGCGGAATCAAGTTCACAATACCGGTTTTTCATTAAGACCAAAAAATTAGCCCTGAAAGTTGTGGCATTCAAATAATAGCCCCAGGAAATGATAGAATAGTTCGTCTGTCACGCTTCTGAACTATCCCTAAATACAAAAAGTGACATGAGATCTTATGTTGCTAAAATTCAACTCAAGTCGTGCTAGCCATTCTGTGAGTTATCATGGGAAGCGCAGTGTTCGAAATGCTAAAAATTTCTAAGTACGAATTGGGAGTAGTCGGCGCACGACGCCGTCTCCTGTTCACACTCGAATTGCAGCCGTTTTGTACGCTTGCGTCCCCGTCTACGCCCGTCTACGGTATGAAAAGTTGGATCGATCCAACTCTTCCCGTCGCTTCCCGATCTGGACGGTAGAACGGTTGCGTTCCCGTTCCTGGTGTTCACATTGGACGCCGTCAGACCGTCCTGTCGCTTGCCGTTGATCCTTACGTCGCGTCCTGCCGCGCCCCGTCGAATGTGAACTAGGCTTAAGAATCGCTATCACGTACGTGGACCCAACCTCTCTAGAAGCATATACGGCGTGTCGATTGATTCCGCTTGACAAAAAACCCTGGAGTTTGACCTATTGGCATCGGTGAGGTTGTAAGACGGATCGCAGGGAAGGCTTTCCTGCAGGTCATTGGCTCAACCATCACGCAAGCCCTTGGCTGCCGGCAACTTTGTGGAGGCCAGGAAAGTGGTATGGAAGCCGCCATCCATGCTATGGGAGTGAAGTTTTTCGAAGAGGACACTGATGCCGTGCTATTCGCCGACGCTTCAGACGCATTCAACCGGCTGAACAGGGCCACCCGCATGCGGAACATTCGTCAACTGTGCCCGGACTTTGCTGCTACTATTTATTTATTTATTTATTTATTTATTTATTTATTTATTTATTTATTTATTTATTTATTTCTGCACCTCGTGGCATGTCAAGACAGCCAATTGAATTGAGGAGAGGGTGAGACCAACCACGGAAGAGAGAAAAAAAGAAAATGAGGAGCACGTACACAAAGTGGGAAGGGATTAGCAACTTACAAAGCAATGGGATGCTCATCATCAACACCATCCATCACAACTCACCAGTATCCTTCCTTCTCAGTCACGAAACAGCACGCTCCGCTCATTTCCCCACTCCCTCATCGCAACGTGGAATGAGCTCCCATCTACCCTGCTGCAGTCTCCCCCTTCTCGCAGAGGTATGCAAACCTTCAAGAAAAATGTCAACGACCACTTGCGGCGCAGCAAGTGGGAGTGGGCCACAGACAGGTTATGGTCTCTCCATCGCAGCCAACACACCAGCCTAATTATACCGACGCAGTCCAGCTCCCTTCTACCCCTCTTTGATCCCCTTTTTATTTTATTTTTTTATTTGTTAATTTTTCTTATGAAAGTGCACATGCCTACATGTAGAATGGAAGAGAACAACAACATCAAGAGAACATAGGGGACTACAAAGGGCGTGTAGGTGCTATTGAGCTGTGCCGGTGAGGTGAAGTGCGCTCCCCCGACCAATGGTCTCGGGATCAAGGCGCACAACCTTCGCTCAGCCTTAATAATAAGCGATTACCAGTTCTCTCCATCTTCCTACGGTGCACTGCTTTTACTATTGTTATGTCCTATCTCAATCTCAAAATCTCCCCAATATCGTTTGCAAAGCCGTCCAGAACTAAAAAATATGAAATTACATGTACATGTACATGTATGTCTTTGGACCTTGGGAAATCCTCAAATACAGGTACATGTATATGTACATGTACATGTACACTGGAAATATACACTGTAAATAATTTAAAATTGTGTAAAGAGAAGAGGTCATTAGTTCACCACCATGAATTCACTTGCAAACATCTACACACGCACATGTGTAGAATGCAGCATGAGCACGTCCCTCGGTTCCTGGTGTCGTCCATAGTCGTCCCTGGTGTTTTCCCCACCACAGCCAAGACTTCGCTGTTGTGGGGAAAACACCACTGCATGCATGCTGGGCACTTCACCAGGCCAGGGCGCAACTCATGACATGTGTAGATCTACCAGGTGTACATGGTGTACAGACAAGTCAAACCACTTCTAATACAATCATGTACTAGTACCGTACTACTGTTGTAGACATGGAAATCCGGTCGCACGTTTAGCAGCCCCAGGGCGCTGGCCATGCAGCCGGGCCGTGGGTAAGCGGTACACACACATATGCGTACGCATTTACATGTATGCACTGCAGCGCACTGGTCCCAGTGGATCAACATGTGCACTGCACGCAGCGTTCTGTACGCGCTGAGGGCGCCGGGGCCCGGGAGTCCGGGACTGGATTTCCATGTCCGCTACACTAGTAGTAGTAGTTCTATCACAGGTACTGAGTAGACCTCTACTACATGTAGGTGCTCAGTCCCCTGTCCGATGGACGCGGGTGACACTCTAGTCAGGGCGCGCTGGGGCCGGCTGGGAACTTGTGGGAAGCCCATTTCGCTGGTCAGTCACATCATGACTAGACATGGTCATGGGGTTCGCGAGTCGCGACCCGTGTCACCGGAGCTACGGTCTCAGTCTATCTACCCTGCACAACAGAAACTCGAACGGCATCCGACCGCACTACACATCGTGCTCCTAGATTCTGTTCTCTTGCCATGGTACTGGTAGATCTACTACTACTACTACTGTACTACTACTGTACTACAATCTCTACATACTACCAGTGCCGGCTCATGTAGATGACAATAATAAACGTCCAGAGCGCTGCATTCTTGAAAGCATCGATCACTCGGCAGTAACAGTTTTTTTGTTGTGATCCAAGGCTTGATTGTTTTCACGTTGTCCCTGAAGTGAAGAGCAGGCATCTCAATGCAAAGCCTCTACAAATAACCTAGCTTGGCCAGTCTGCTGCTGTCCCTTGGATTTAGCTAACGCGCGTGATATGATCCGGAGTTCACCTATGAAGTAACGTAAGTCGTTGCTCGATCTGGACACGCTACGCTGCATTACGTAAGATTACGGAAATCAATCCTCCAGCAGCAGGGCAGGCCTCTCACTCAGAGTCTGATCAATGCATTCGTAGCACAGTCATGTACTTGTACTAGCAAAGGCCTGCACATTTCGACCAACCGGCTCTCAGCTGTACCGAATTGTTGAAGGGGTTGCAAGTAATCAGTCGCCAATTAGAAATAGGCCACACGTCGCCAGTATGCCGTGAAAACACAGCCAGTAAAATAATTGATTAGTCCCATTCAGTGTCTATGTAGAGATAACATCGACAAGTGTTTGAATGCCGTCGAAAAGGCCATTGAATGCTCGTATAACACTCGTGGGTTGTATCTCTACGCAGACACTGGCTTGGAGTAGTTGGAGCGCTAATACCAGCTACCCACCAATGACATTAATTGTAAGTTCATTCTAACTGGCGATGCATAGTTAGATTATTAGTAGGAGTATGAGCAACAGAACCAATCAGGGTATGCAGCTACTCGCAGTCAAGTGGGGACACATTGCCCAGTAGAGTGTAGAGGGGGGTAGGCTAAAAATGTGGCCAGTGTAGTTTGGGGTAGAACTGGTGTTAGAGAAATCAAGTTGGGTAAGGTTGCGCTCGCAAGTCACGTAAAAGAGACTCGCCAGACAAAGTGACTGTGGTGATTTGGTTACCGGCCAAGAAAAACAAAATCACAGTCATGACTTCAGGAGGGTAAAACTTATTCTCGCTGGTTTTGTCTGTTTTTCTGCTCGAGTGAAGTCAGCTTGGAGTTGAGCAGTGAATGACAAGGGGCTTGTAATTTGTAGTTTCTGTCTGCACAATGCCGAAGATAGAGTTTCTTCTGAAGCCTATGTTTCTATGCCAGGCTGCTGTAAAAGCAGGGAAGCATCACTAGCTGCACTGACCGGACCGGCCTTAATTTGAAGCACAAAGGAGAGGCGCAGATCTTTCCTTCATCTGGAGAGATGAAATAGAGATCTGCATTGCTCTCGGCGAGGCAGTAAGAAGTCTGCACAAGAAGAACACGTGTGCATCGTGTAGGTCATCCATGATCTTCTCTACACCAACAAAATACACTCAACGGCGATCCACACAAATGTTCTATTTTGTTCGTGGACCTGTTTAAAAAATATGTGTGACGGCGCCCGAAAATACTGTACACGGTTATAATACTAAAATTATTACTCGATCTACGGACAGAACTGTTTCGTCCTTTGTGGACTCATCAGCGCAGCACAGAAAAAAATAAGCCTGAACCTGATAGCAATGAAAATTATGCCAACTTCAAACTAGGCCCGGACGTACCTTGCCAGAGTGCTCAAACTGACAAGTCAGTGAGTTCTGCATAATGCAAACAGCAAAGGCACTACCCCACATGAGAGTGCTCAACTACTACAAGAGCGGGAGCGAAATACTCAATCTGCGGACAAAACTGTTCCGTCCTTTGTGAATTCATCAGGGCAGCACAGGGGAAATGGGGCTTAACCTGATAGCATTGAACATCGAGTAGAGTACTGGCGGGCACCAGATAAATGGAGTGCCGAAGAACAGCCAGGACAGAATTTCACCATTTTTTAAGAAAGGTTTGGGCTAGATTTTTCAGACACGAACGGAAACCGTAATAAACACTATAGGGTTAAGTAAAAAAATGAATGTTTAATGTCCCCGCACGCCCTGATTTTCACCCTCCCGGCCAAATTATTTTATTTTCTAGTTCGGGCAAATGCACTGTACGTACTGCGATCTACGCCTACACGGCCTCTAATCAGCGTGGCTGTAGATCTTGGAAGGCGAAGTCCGCAGATTGAAAGCGTGCGTGCGTGTGTGTGTGTGTGTGTTTTGTGTGTTCCTGTCTGCTTCAGGTTTCCTCCTGGAACATCTGCAGACTGCTTTTAAAGGCCGGGAAGCTACGCATCAACTCACGCTTATCCTGGGACACTCTCTCTGTCTCTTTGTGAGCATACAGTTAATCCATTTTGGAGTGACAGCTGTTCGCCATGCCCCAAGCCTGTAAGTGTATAGTTGATCATAATTAGTTGAATAGACTCTGATGGCGAACCAAGGATAAATATAATATTATAGCATAGAAAAAAGGACATAATTATAATTTAGAACCGTCCAACTTGGAAGGGTGTTTGGAGTGCGCATCCAAGATATGCTAGAGCTGTTAGGCCCCATTCACACACGGTACAAAACCGCATACAAGCATCATGTTCTTTGAAGTGGGCATGGAAACATGCCCGAAAAGTGAAAAATCACATCAACGTTCAAAGCCATCCCGGAGCGGCTTTGAAAGCGGATTTCGGCTTTTAGTTTTCAGGCAAGTCGAAACAAGTGGTTTGGTGTGTCGAGTTTTTGTTAGTTTTTGGAGAGTCCGGTAGTACCATGCCTCGAGTTGTCTTTTCTGCCGAGGCGGAGCTACGGCTGATAGAACTATGGGGAAAATACAAGCGAGAAAAGTGAAACTATGATGAAAAGAGCTGTTGCCGAGAAGAGGATTGCAGATGAGCTGAATCTGTGCGCAAAGCAGCTACCCGGAGTGATCAGGAAATGATATACACGGCCTACCCACGGCCGCTATCGTTCACAACTCCAGCACACTCAGAGGAATACACCAGTTGTGGAGGCGTTCCACCGAGATCATACTAGCGGACCAAGAAATAGTATTTTTGAAATGTTTAGCCGTACCGGTGCGCTCAGCTCATGCAGAAATCAAAATATTTTAATTCCGCTATCGTTCACAACTCCAGCACACTCAGAGGAATACACCGGTTGTGGAGGCGTTCCACCAAGATCATACTAGCGGACCAAGAAATAGTATTTTTGAAATGTTTAGCCGTACCGGTACCGGTACGGTGCGCTCAGCTCATGCAGAAATCAAAATTCCGGCTCTTCGCTATGGCCTATAGTATGGGAGTATGGGTCACGCGGGTCACTTTTTACGTGTTAGGCATGCACTGCATTTGACTGTGTGAATGCACAGGCGTTGCAAGTGGCTTCTACCGTCATGTAAACGCGAATTTTTGTACCGTGTGTGAATGCAGCCTTAGCCAGTTAGTTGTAGAACGTGACGACCGTCAATCAGTGCAGTGCAATGTTATCACATGACTAGCTGATTGTTTAGTCACTAGTTGTGTTAGTCGAGATTTAGTTTAACTTGTAGTTTCTTTGAAAGGAATTCGGGTGGACACACCCATTCCCATAGCGCTGCTCTCATTTTTGCCAAAAAATCACCAAGGGTGATTTTAGATTTCTGGCCATATATTGGTGAGACTGGCCGCTTCCTGGAAACTCGCCTGGAAAAAAAATAATGGTGAGGCAAGATGACAGGAACTCGACAAGCCATGGGGCCAACATTTTCGTGTCACTCACCCTGGATCCAAGCTCAACTATGGGCAAAGTGCATTCTCTGCAGTTGAAGTAATCGGGAGAGAGCCTGATCGAGCCCGTCGCAAAATGCGCGAGGCGATTGAGATTCGTGATGCTAAGCCCCATGTCAACATAAGCACCGGTTGGGATTATTGTGCATTTTCGCAGTTTCCCCTGCTGCTACTCTTTTTTTATCAATATCACTGAATATAATATGAGGCGGGTCACTCAAATCCATTCTGTTCTTGATGCCTCGTAGTGTCCCCGGTGGTAACAGTTTGGCATGGAAGTGTGGGATCTCCCAGTTGTCTGCTTTTCTCACACATTCTGTGATTAACCTCATAGTGCATTGGCGCATGGGCCTCGGTGCTTCCCTCCTGTAATGTGCTAGAATTAACACCATAACTATTACTTTGCCTGTCGCTGCAAATTCTTTATTATTGTTTTGATGTTGAAGTTCGGATTGAGGTCCTTTCCCTTCTTCCTTTTCCTACCCCTATTTCTTGTCCCTTTGGTTTTTAGCTTTTTATTTTTTCACTTTTTTTGCTGTCCCACCCATGGAAATATTTCCCGGTGGGTTTGGCTTATCGCCTTCGAAAGAAGTGAATAAAGGAGACATAATAGTAGAAACGAGTTAAGAGTAACTCTCCACCACTGTAACTACATGTAGATACTATATACAGTCAGAAAGTGCAACAACTAGGCACAAAACTGACAGAGTACTGAGACATTCGACGTCCTGACACCTAGCTTCAACACATCTCCGTAGCGCTAACCTTGAACCTTCCAAGTTGGAACGCTGTCGGCTAGCGCTATGGAGATGTGTCAAAGCTAGGTGTCAGGACGTCGAATGTCTCAGTACTCTGTCAGTTTTGTGCCTAGTTGTTGCACTTTCTGACTGTATATACTATCTACATGCAGGGCATAGATTAACGGCCGGACATCGGACATCGGACATTTCCCGCCATTTTCGGCCACTGACCGGACGTTTTCAATTTCACCGGACATAGTGTCCGGTCAACAAAGGAAAAAAAGAGCAGCGACCTTTCGACCTTGTATGCAGAGTTGGGCTTTCTTCGGAGCTTCGTGCCAACTGCGACTTGCATATCGTACAACTAACACGTCTACACCGTAGCCTCAGGCGTAGACTTCACCGTATTTACTTGATCCGCCTGTAGCAACGCGGTTGCTACAGTCAATTCACACTTTCGACCTTTGGTACATGGTGTCGACTTCGCACTTGAATCGATGGGTTGAACTGCAGTGCTGTTGTTCGCTCTTGAGAGGAAGATGTCATCTTTTATTTTTCACTCTTTCACTGACCAAGAATGCAGATAGTCTTTTAGAATGTCTTCTGGAAAGCGAAAGGGAGATTCAGAGGACTTGCCGCCGGGCAAAAAGTCCGTGGTGTGAAGGCCGCTACTTGCGATAAGTGGATCTCGGACAACGATGCCTTCCCCCTGGCTGATTTATGACCGGCAGAAGAACGATCGGCTGTTAGCAGAATGTTTGAAGTGTTCCGTGTGCATCAAGTTTGTAGACAGAGTCCGCAGTTGTAAAAACGTCAGCGAGGCTTTCATAACCGGATCCAAGAACCTGAGAACATCAGCATTCAAGGATCATGCTGGAACGGAGATGCATAAACGAGCAATGAATCGTTTCCACAGGCAAGAGTGTCCCGCTCGAAACGCCCTCGAATTCGCTCCAATTGCGAAGGCACTGTGCAAGATGGACGATGGTGCTGCCGCTATTGCACGACTCAAATTCGAACTGACTTACCTTCTCTGCAAGGAGCATATCGCGTTCGCAAAATTCGAGTTGTAATGTGTGAGATACGTCCACATAATGAGTCATTGTGAATGTACTTCAGTACTACTAAAAAAATAGAAGAAGAAACACCCAGAAAATGTGTTGTGGAAAATGTCCGGGCATGTCCGGACAGATTTCGAAACGGAAGGACATATGTCCGAGCTAAATGAAATCCTTAAGCTATGCCCTGATGTAACATGTAGTTACAGTGGTGGAGAGTTACTCTTAACTCGTTTCCACATGTCCTTTTCCATTCTACTTTTATTATTGGCTCAATACCCGAGTTTCAAATAATAATAGTGGTGAAACGAATATTCGAATATTCGAACATTCGTTCGCTTGATCACATTCGAATATTCTTTAAGTCGCATTCGAGTATTCGTGACGTCACTTCGAATGCAGTGCATGTACATACATGCACGCCAAGCACAGTACAGTGCAGTGCGTACAGCCTGCCTGTGACTTTGTACTGCATGTTTGCACATGTATGTGCATACTGGACTGCCAATGTAGCAAACAACATGTATAAACTTCGAAGTAGCCTTATGTGGCAGAGCATTTTATGTGGCACTACTGTTTGTCATACCTAATAACAACGACAACATCCATCAAATGACTGAGAGGAGGTCATGTGATGTCATCTGTGTTACCAAAAGAATATTCGTTCGTTCGTTCGTTAAGCCAAAGAATATTCGACTACTAGGTTTTGACATTCGTTTCACCACTAAATATTATAATAATAATACCACAGCACGCGTACAAAGGCCAAAGAACAATGCATGATAATACACTGAAATTAAGCCAGGCCCGCTTCTGGTTCCAGTCAACAAAAACTCATCCATAAACAATGTCTGATCTCCATTGCGACTTGTCTGCAGCAAATGCTCGTGCTCCTTCTAGGTCGCTGGCATTCTTCAAAGGGATGTCGTGCCCTGCCAGGTCCTTCATGACGGTGGTAGGGAGAGTAGTCACGTGACGGCCCCTTCATCCACGTGACCCTGCTTGAAAATAGCAGGACATCGCAAGGCAAGGGGGTGACTGCTCACTCATCCTCAGCACATGGCCAGTGAGGCTACGACTTCGTTTGGCAACAAGCTCCGACAGTACAGGGATCGATTTACTTTGATTTTTTTGCATAGCAGTCACTGCTACACAGTTTTACAATTGACTAGCAACTCCCAGTATTGATTAGCAGTTTTCCTTCATCAAAAGTTTACATGTATAGCTGTACAATAGCAGGATTTCGTAAAGAAGAGGACAATAGCTGCAGTTGCTATTTGCTTTTCCAAGCGAATGTTCAACCTGAATATTTACGTTAGAGTTTTCGCTTGGGCACGTTACATGTTCAGCGTCCATCCGTCTTCGAGTTCTTCACAACACAATGTCTTTCAACAGGGCAGTTCCACTGATTCCTTCGACAAAGAAACCTCAGGAAAGCGCTCAAACGATCGGGACATTTCGTGCAAAGCGCATCGAATTTCGCTTTTCTCCTTTTCTTCATCGAAACGAATCGACATTCCTGGCGCGTCCAGTTCTTTGTCCCTCTTCTGGGCAGTGAATCACTGATCAGATTCACTGACATGTTGGCTACATGAGACTAAGAACCATCTGCTTCAACTGTGCCTTGTCGAACAGAAACAAACTGAGCTTGACAGTGAAAGAAGAACATCAGGAAAAGTCACCGCCGTGTACAAAACTTCAGAAGACTGCAGTCATGTACGACCAGTGCTAGTGCAGTGTCCAAAATCGAAAGAGCGCGATCCGCGAGTCCGCGACCCGCGCGGACTGAGCAGGACAGGCCAGTTGGTTGGAGTAGTAAAATACTACTCCCTAGTCAGCAGTGTGTACATCAGTCGCATGTAGACTGCACACAACTGGTCTTTGTAGTGCATCGCAGTTTTGGGCGATAAAAAACGAAAAGCGAATCGCAGCCAGTGAATTTTGATTCGCAAACTGCGATGCGAACCCGGATAAATCGATCCCTACAGTAGCTGCGAGTCACATCTGGAATACAGATCATCATTTGTAATTCTGTCTGTGTATCGCACTCCCAATGGCACAAAAAATTCCGCCGTGGGCTGGGGAATAGTCGAGTTGCACACTCTTGGTTATAATTATACTCTTGCCGTTAGTGTTGGACAAAACAGATAATTTATAAACTTATGGTCCTCTTTTTTTAAGATGAACAGGTTTCATATTTTTGCCGCATAAACAAATCATACAGGGGTCATGCATCTGTCAATGATCGTTATCCAGAGTTGCTTGTTGGTGGCAAGGTTGAGGCATTCCTGAATCAGCACATTCAGAGGCTGGAGGTCTTCTTTGATGTTGTCGACCTATCTATTGTGGGGTCGTCTAAGGGGGGGGGGGGGGGGGGCTTGATGTCCGAAGTATAAAATGTATGGGTAGTAATTTAAATAAAATGGGGTTTGTATTTTTTGTAATTTTCGACATCACTAATAAAGAATTCTCGTCCACCGCATGCGCCAAGAGTGAATTGCAACTAAATAGAGCGGTTGTCAGTTGACAACCCTCATTCTCATTCTTAACTCATTCTCAACTCATTCTCAACTCATTCTCATTCTCAACTCATTCTCAACTCATTCTCAACTCATTCTCAACTCATTCTGCACCTCCCGTAGTGGCTAGTAGTGGTACTACAGTCGTGTCCATGCAGCCCTTAATGTAACAGTACATGTCTATGCAGCCCATGATGTAACAGTACATGTCTATGCAGCCCATGATGTAATAGTACATGTCCATGCAGCCCATGATGTAATAGTACATGTCTATGCAGCCCATGATGTAATAGTACATGTCTATGCAGCCCATGATGTAATAGTACATGTCTATGCAGCCCATGATGTAATAGTACATGTCCATGCAGCCCATGATGTAATAGTACATGCCTATGCAGCCCATGATGTAATAGTACATGTCCATGCAGCCCATGATGTAATAGTACATGTCTATGCAGCCCATGATGTAAAAGTACATGTCTATGCAGCCCATGATGTAATAGTACATGTCTATGCAGCCCATGATGTAATAGTACATGTCTATGCAGCCCATGATGTAATAGTACATGTCTATGCAGCCCATAATGTACCCTAAAGATAACAGAGTATTGGCCGGGTTTGTTTGTTTGGCGACAACTGCAGAAGATATTGTCAGTCTCCTCCCTGTGTTTTTCCAGATAACCCATTTAAACACACCACGTTTGTGTCTGATTATCAACCCTGGATTTACGACTTGGACGAATCTGGACTGCGAATGGCCCTTCAGGAGCGGAAAGCTTTTACCGCTGCCAATGTCAAAGCACTGCAACGCCTTCAAGGAAAGGAAGAGCATAACCAAGAAATACTCAACATTCTAACGTCAGGTGGTGTTGAGGCTTACCCAGTCCTGTGTGATGCAATTGAAAGCATGAGTCCCTTTTACAAATCAAAATGCGACGGCATGAGGAAGCTTCTAGCTGAGCCAGCACCCGGTATGTCTCTTGGGATCTTGTAATCTTTGAATTTCAGAGTCCATTCACTTGGAACAGCGAGCACTTAACCGCTGTTGTCATCTGCTGAGGTTTGGCGGTGAAAGGGATCATACAATTTAAACGGCGTATGTGCTTTTAGCTGCCCTAGCACTGTGTGTGGGCAGATGGCTTCTCTAGTACAACGCATGTACATAGTGGCCTCCCTACCGCCACCACTATAGATAATATAATAGAACAGAGAGGTTCCAGGCTGGCCAATGCAGTGCTAAATGGCAAAAGGCAGAGCTGGTTCAAAGATGAATAAGAAGATTAAAATGAACTCGGATGGAGAGCCAAGGATTATTTATAAAAAGTAAAAAGAACCAAGGAAATACAAATTACACTATAATGTCCACTAACACCACCAGGTACTAAAAAATCAGCTCATGCCAGTTGTAGAAAGTCGGTACCGTTGGTCAGAGTCGTGCGATGTTATCGCAGTTCTCTGTTTTTTATTCATTGCTTAGCGCGTGGAACTCGGAGTTAGAACAATTTGTCATCCTTTATCCTTGTCAGTACAGATAACATGTCACCTCCTACCCTCCGCAACAGTATTCTTAGAGGTAGTGGCTTGGAAGAAAGGTTCTAATTCTGAACATGCACAGGCTTGCATGCACAACTGGCTAGTGAGACAGTGACATGCCGCAAGGCTTCAGAGAACTACAATATTTCCTAGTCGATTTGCATTTGAGATTGAACTTGTAGAGCTGGTGTATGTGCAGGTATCGAAATTCCTCGGTATAAGTCGCACCTTTTGACACTTACCATTTCGTGCAAAGAAGTGCTCGCCTTACAATCGAGTGGGACACCCTACATTACATGAGGATATATTAAAACAGTATGGCTAAAACCGAGAAGCTGCTGCGGTGTGACTTGTAATGGAGTGCGACTTAAATTAGAGGAATTGAAATATTACCGCATGTGTTCATTTATAATCTTGTAAAACTGCATGCCCCATCTCCTGCTATCCCAGGCGCAACAACGCTACCTCCATCCACTGGAGTTGCAGCCTCGCCGCCTACCTCTGTTCACGCTCCTGCAAAAGTAAAGGCTACGCCAGCAGAAGCGCCAGCATCAGCAGCAGGAGCAACAGTAGCTGCAGCGGCAGTGCCGGGGACATTGGTCCCCACAGCTAATCTTCAGGTGGACAGTCCACTGGGCGAGATGATAGGGTAAGGCCACTTCAAACTCTACATATCACACTTGTGCTGAATAAGTTACTGGAATTGTATATCTGAACGAGTTGAAAACGGAACGGTTTGAAGAAAGAATCGTCCCCAGCAGCACTCAAACCAGAAACCCTAGGCTACGGGCAGTGATGCTTTATGAGTACATGTAAGCCATGGTTTAGTTAGCTTCCCAACAGCGACCGCTGAGAAAACAAAATTTCTTTATAATTATAATAAGTATATCAATCAAAGTGACTACGACTTGATTGTCCTTGTTGTTCTGTGCAACAATTATATACTGGTGTTCACCAGTTAGCAGCATCTTAGCAAACGAAGATTCTCCCCGGACCCCAACCGCTCCATTGAGATCATGAAGACAGACTCTTTCAAATTCGGTTTTAAAATGGCAATAAATAAGATAAATTGTGCACTCATAACAACAGCCAAATGAAGAAAGTCAAGTTCCGTAACGTTTTCTTGTGACTGTCATCAGTGGAACGCCGTCACATAAAAATGTAATAACTAAAACACACACTTATATACATGTAGCTAATATGGTTTCAGGTAGAAATACAGCAGCTAACAAGTACAAAAAGCGAAGTTTGCACCTTTGCAATGTGTGAATATAGTGTATGTGAGAAAGGTAGTGGCAGATGAATGTGATACTGTGTGAATGAATGTAATGGTGCGTGTGTATTACTTGAAGAGTGTGAGTGATACAACGTTTTCTTTCTTTTCTTTTATCTCACTGTACGAAAATACAATCCGTGCGAAAGGTCGAAATTCGGCTTTTTCGGATTAAAAGGTCCGTCCGCAAATTTTCTGCTGTACAGTATGTTGGATGCACGACGCATGCTGTAAACCTGTAACCTGTTATTTTCATCCGGATGGCGAGGGATCGGGATGAAAGAGGGGGGACCGGAAAAGCAAGGTCTGACTGAACATGAAAATAAGAATGGTGTACAGTACTGTAGGATGCCAAAGAACTGGCCGGTCAGGGTTCTAACCTAGCACGGTATTATTGTTTAGTGAACGCAGCAGTCACGTTTATTATTTTGATTGTACAGTCTTACATGTACGTTATACGTCTGAGTGTACATTAAACTGTTCATTGCGGTTTCCGTTCTTATGTGAAGTCTAATGTTTTCCAGAATCAATTTTCAGGTCACTGTCATCAGTGGAATATCATGCTGACTTCGTTGATGCATGGTGATTATCCCAGAGTTAGTTCTCTTTTCTTGCTGTCTTCTGACCCGCCATGATTAACATGAAAGTACATGTCGCTTTCATATGTTCTGTCCGTCTTTCAGACAGAAACTCCTCGATGTGAAGGACTGGAAGGGATTCAGCGACAGCTTGGAAAAGTGTGTTAGTCGCGAGAACCGTGGTAAGCATGTTCCTGCCTATCTGTGTAGAATTGAAGATGAAACACCTACCGTATTGTCCGGAATATAAGCCACACCCTGATATTTTGTCACCAAGCAGAATCATGAAGAAAGTGTCTGCTCCGAAAGTCGAAGCTCGCGCTTCCTGCCGACTGACTTGACGTTTGGGCCCGTCAAACCTTCCACTCGGCAAACCTGCAAAAAGCACCACTCCCTGTTTAATGCACAGTGTTGAGGGAAATTAACCCCGGTTCATTGACCTTGAATAAGCTAATGAACTTTCTGCTCCGAGAGCACTGCATTATGTAGTGCTCTCCGAGCCAATACATCACTAGGGATACCACTTGACAGTGATGCTCCGCTTCCAGCGCGACAAACACCTGGTGATCACCAGGCAGCAGCAGCAGCGTGAGTCAGTGTTGCACATGAAGTAGGGAAAACAGTTAGTTAGTCAGTAAAGTGTCAAGTCAGTCGGCAGGAAGTGCGAACTCCAACATTTGGAGCCGACACTTCCTTCACCAATCACCACCGATGTGGCAATATCTTCCTTACAAAACACCTTATTCGTTGACAGAATCGTTGTTATTTTAACTCTTCTTCCTTGCACTGTTCCTATCACCTCTTTCTTTCCTACCGAATAAAGACTTCCCTGATTATAAACGTTAAATTGACCGTCTCAGTTTTAACGCATCGCCTTTTTGGGTAAAATACTGGTGCTCAATGTGTGCCTGTTGCGACGAGCTTTCCAGGAAGAACAATAATTATTGAAAAAAAACGTCAAAAGAAGACCAAAGTTATAAACCGGAGAATTATGGAATTTGAGGTTAGTCGAGATCAAGTTCCGTCTGCGTACATTTTTCCGTACATAAAAAACGGGTTACAGTACCGGTTAATGGTATACTCCGGGGAATGCACTATATGCATACATGTACATTGTACATCATACATACAGCAGTGGTTCACATCTACCGTATCACCATGGTCCTACCTGGAGACGGCCATGTTGGCTCCAACAGCAGTGAGCTTCTGTATGAATGAGTCACACGATGCTAGCCATGCTGTCCCAACTGTCTACCTGTCTTGTGCACGTCATGCATAACAGCAGTCACGTGACCCAGAAGTGAAAACACTGCAAATATTATGTACTGAGTTTTCCGGAGTATAAGCCGCACTTTGAACAGCATAAAGTCATCCAAAACAGTCAGTGGGGCGTGTATTGCGATGGTCCATTTCACGATGATAAACAGGATATATGGCTGTATTTAGTGACAAATAATCTGGGTGGGGTTTATACTCCAGTGTGGCTTATACTCCAGTGTGGCTTATACTCCAGTGTGGCTTATACTCCAGGAAATACGGTACACCATAGTTATAGAAGTATGGCATACATAACGCTCACGTGGACGTTTAAAATATTCCCTTTTCACTCCCTGAGACTTTATGGATCGTGAACATGTGTCTGTTTTATTTTATGCGTTACTATGGTGATGATAATATACATACAGGGTCATGTGACCAAAGAAAAGTATCATGTAGTTTAGTGCGGTTTGGGATGGAGGGCATGTCTGCCAGCCATCCCGATTTGGCCAGCACTGTCCCGATATCGCAGGGTGGTGCTAGGCACCCAAAAGTGCATTCGTCGCATGCCTGGACTAGACAATCATCATACCTGTTCATGCCTACGTACAGGTTTGGCGAATTGTCCCAATCTCCGGTTTGCAAAAGTTGACAGGTATGACAAGTGATGTGCTCAGATTTGCTGTGCTCTGTAGAAAGGATATATACTGTAAAGTCGCGGAACATCCGGGCTTATAAGCATATAAGCCGCTTTCTGCATCAGGCTTTAATGCAAACCATGCTTATATGCACCACTGATATTTTTGCCAGGCTTGTATGCACATGCCTCTACGCGTGACACGCGTAGATCTACCACTGACTACCGGTATGGCGGCAGTTTTACTATGCACCGTACATAGCGCATGCACTCTTGACCTACCCGATCCACGCTTGCATAGAAGCCAAGCTTCTACTATGTACGACAGGGTTATATGCATTTGACTCGTTTGATTTTCAGGCTTCTATCCGCGATGTACTTGTATGCATACCTGGTTTGGGGGAACGTGAATAGGCTACCGACATGTCTCTGAGAAATGCTGCATTTCTTTCTGTTTCCTCCTTGTTCTCGTGTGTGTCCAGACGACTTTGCCCAAGCCGTTGCGGTACTGATTGATCCGGAGAACGCCAACGATTTCAGAGATACCATCCAGGACTTTATTAGGAAGAATAAACTTGGAGATTTAGACCTAAAAGACAATCTGTTTGGTGTTATGAGATGGGCGGTGGGCCAATCTAGAAAGTACGAAGTCACGCTGGCCGACTTGGAGAAGATAGCGCGAGACCTCAATCCTGATAGGAAGAACAGGATACGAAACACATTCCAGTGAGTTTTACAGGAATGATTGATCTTCTTGTCATCCAGTATTTCAGTAGGATGGGCTGGGTCGGTGGCGAGGAGAAGGAATGTTTATGTGTGTGTGTGTGTGTGTGTGTGTGGCAGAAGGGGGATGGGGGGGGGGGGGGGGATGATAGTCTAATCTAATTATATGAGAAAGTGATGGACGTCCTGCACTGGGATCCTGACTGCTCTCTAGCTTGGTGTCTGAGCATTCTTTCCCAGTAGCAAAGTCCAGGGTTTGCAATCTCGGACACTGAGCCAGAGTCCAGGGTTTGCAAGCTCGGACACTGAGCCAGAGTCCATGGTTTGCAAGCTCGGACACTGGCCCAGAGTCCACGGTTTGCAAGCTCGGACACTGGCCCAGAGTCCATGGTTTGCAAGCTCGGACACTGGCGGAGAGTCCATGGTTTGCAAGCTCGGACACTGGCCCAGAGTCCATGGTTTGCAAGCTCGGGCACTTTTTGAGTCATGTTGCTTGTGCTAACATCCTGCCAAAACATTCTCTTAGCAAACTGGTGCATCTTCTTGGAGTGTGAAATCTGGTCAAACTTGTGTACAAAGTTTGTGATATTTCCCCTCTCTCTGTGAAACTCTCTCTCCCTCTATCTTATTCTCTCCCCCCCCCCCCCTCTCTCTCCCTACCTCTCTGTTGTTGCAAAATACAATGTATGTCTTTCTCTTACCCTCTATCTCTCTGTATCACACACACACACACACGCACACGCACCCACACACACACACACACACACACACACACACACACACACACTGCCTCTCTTTCTCTCTCTCTCTCTCTCTCTTTCTCTCTCTCTCTCTCTCACACACACACACACTCTCTCTCTGTCTCTCTCTCTTTCTCACTCTCTCTCTCTCACACACACACACACACACACACACACACACACTCTCTCTCTCTCTCTCTCTCTCGCTTTTTCTCTCTTGTTGTGTGTCCTTGGTACAGTGTTGAAAAATGGTGAGGCGTCATCTTGAAGCTGTCTTGCTCTCCTGCCAAGCCGTGGCCTCCAGTCGTTCCTGGCTTAGCTGTCGACTGTCTACGTTACACCACTGCAGCAAGTGTTTTGTGAGACGAGTATGTATGTCGGGACACTGCGTGCCTATGGGCGTGTGCTTGCCTGAAGAAGATCTTCATCAGCATTTTCTCCCTCTTCACTTCTTTCTAGCCTTTTCTGTCTCTCTGGTTTTATCCCTACCCAACGTACACACACACACACACACACATATACACGCACACACACACACACACACACACACACACACACACACACACACACACACACACACACGCAAACACCCATCACCTTGGACCATGGACCTTGGACGCCCATCGCTAGTGCGATGATAGCGTGTGAACTGACCAATATTGGGAATGACGCTTCAAGTCACCCGTCCGGCGAAATGTTCGTCCACTTGCACTGAAAGCGCTTCACTGGCTCTTCCAGGGGCCATGACCCCCCCCCCCCCCACACACACACACGGACTTACACAGGTTCTCTCTCTCTCCCTCTCTCTATCTAACTATCTCTCTCTCTTTCTTTCTTTCTTTCTCTCGTTTTGTGTCAATTTCTAAGGTCTCTCAGTTCCAAAGTTGTTATTTTCTTAATTGCATCACCCCCTGTCAGTAGATCTCCTATTCTCGTCCTTCACCTTACTGTAGTCATGGTAACTAACTGCATATGTTCTTCTCCTTTCTTATCTTAGAATGACGTAATGTGAACTGTACACATCTATTACTGGTATCACCAGTTTAAGGTATTGTCCTGTTGGATTTGGAGCACGAAATACACAAGTCCTACTCATCCGTTCCTCTTCTTTTTTAGATGATTTCCAATTTCTATTCCTTTTCTGAGATTCTATTTTAGCTGCACACTCATAGTGCGAGATTCTTGTAGGTGCTATTGTTCTAGAAAACAATTTCAGCTGCAGTGTCGTGTTCTCCACTGGAGGCATTCCCCAGCAACTAATGCGGTTCAACTGGCCGCTGACCACCGCACGTTAGCTGCAAGTGGCATTGGTCCGCTGTATCCATAAATCCCCCTCCCCTCCTCTCTGTCTCCCCCTCCTCTCTGTCTATCTCCCCCTCAACTCTGTCTATTCTCCCTTTGTCTCTGTCTATCTGTCATTTTCTGTCTGCCAATCTCCCCCTCCTCTCTATCCAACTCTCCCCCTCTCTCAGCATGTCCATCTCTCCCCCTCTCTGTGTCCATCTCTTTCCCTCTCTCTGTCCATCTGTCCTAACTGTTAAGGCCACAACCGCATTCAGGTTACTGCTGATCTACCTGATGTTCGGGGCCAGCATAACTGCCCTCAAGCGTGTTCACTCGTGCTTCACTGCATGTGCTGATGAAGAAAACGGATTAGGAGAATTGATCTGCAACCCCTGTCTGAACTTGGCAATGCCTTCATCAACTTGGAACATCTCCATTAGGCGACGTGTTGAGCAATCCTTCCTTCGTTAACGAAACCCGGCCTAGCACACCCAGGATGGTCTGTCAGAGAAGGAGGTACGGGGATGGTGGTTTGACCCTTGAGGGGAAGGTGGTTATACCCTTCAGGGGAAGGGGGTTTGACCCTTGAGGGGAAGGTGGTTTGACCCTTCAAGGGAAGGGGGTTTGATCCTTGAGGGGAAGGTGGTTTGACCCTTCAAGGAAGGGGGTTTGACCCTTGAGGGGAAGGTGGTTTGACTCTTGAGGGGAAAAGGGTTTGACCCTTGAGGGGAACGGGGTTAGACTGACCCTTGAGGGGTAGGGGGTTAGACCCTTGAGGGGTAGGGGGTTAGACCCTTGAGGGGAAGGGGAATGGAACTGTAGACTGGACAGGGAGGGATAGATGGCGCCCGAGCCTGGGTTGGGAGAGGCAGGGGGACTAGAGCCTGGGGATGGAGGCGTCAGTGGCACATGCCAGAGCTAAGATTGGAGTCATGAGTGGCTGGGGGGAGGGGAATGGGGTGGGGGGAGGGTATGAGGGTTGGGGGAAGGGGTATGAGGGGGTGGGGAAGGGGTATGAGAGGGTGGGGGAGGGTGGGGGAGGGGTAGTAGGGGGTCGGGGGAGGGGTATGAGGGGGTGGAGGAAGCGGTATGAGGGGGTGGGGGAGGGTATGAGGGGTGGGGGAAGGGGTATAGGTCTAATGAAGTAATTCACTTTGTTAACTTCATTTAAAACTATCAACGCTTTAATGAAGTTAAACAATTCACTGCACGTTCAATGCATACATGTATGTACTTGTACACGCACAGGCACAGGTTTTTCTAGTATGTGCGATACATATATGTGGGGGGGAGGGGGGGGGGGGCATTCGTTGCGTTCCTGGAAAAAAAAGGTGAGCAGCACGCAAGCGAATGTAAAGAAAAAGAAAAAACATATTTTTTTAAATCGTGAAACATGCGTGGAAGAAGTGTCAGGTGGGTTCAGGTGCTGAAGGGTTCTTCCTACATATCGCCTATCAAAATGCCGACATTCGCCATGATACCGTATTATCTCTAATATAAGCACAGTCTCCAATAATAGCACGTCTCCAATAATAGAACACCTTGGGGCGGCATTCAAAAAATAAAGTGCTCAGTCTCCATTATAGGCACACTGTGTAAATTCATTATCTGTACCGGCGAAAAAACCCTGAAATGTGTGTGTCTGACATGAATTTGGCATGGCAACATGCCTCTGAAATGAGGTTGAAATAATAATGGAACAGTCTCCAATAAAGGAACGTCTCCATTAATAGCACGGGACGGAGGTACATTGAAAAAATAAGGGACCGTGCTTATATTAGAGATAATACGGTAGATTACAATCATGGCTAATTAGTTGGGTAGGAAGAACATCCTTCTTCACCGTGAACGCACCTCCCCTAGTAAAGACCGTTGTGAATGCTGTAGCAAAATAAGTTTGTCTGAACACAGGCCTCACGGCACGGGCCATAACGAGCGAAATTTCACTTTTCCAGGGAAGTCGTACAACCACATGACATGGGTCAGGTCCGAATTCCGGCGTGGCAGCCTGAACATCAGGTTCGCTAAACAGTTTACTCAGAAGCTGAACAGGATATTCATTCTGACTGATTACCTTTTTCTAGAACACAAAGCTCTTCCTGAAGCTTATCAGGCGAGAAAACTCGACTAGCGCGCATGATCAAATTTCCTTTAAGAGTAATAAATATAGTAATAATAATAAAGCTATGAATAGGATGCAGTAATACATGTCAAACAAGTAACGTAGTTGCGTGATGTTTGCGGCCTTCATCCTATTCATAGCTATATTAAAATTATTATCTCCACGTAGGCTATTGATAATAATAAAGTCGAACAATAAGAATCGTATACACCACTATCCTCCACATGTACATAGTATAGTATTTATTGAATTTTATTCATATTTCTCTAGGGCAGTCCCCACAGACCTATGGTCTCCTTACGGGGTACCCTAGCCAATCTAGGATTGCGATACGAAATTGACTTGGTGAAGCAGCAAGGCGGACGGACCGTAATATACGTTAGTTCGTTTCCCCGCATAGCTTCTGTTGTGAGACGACTTTTCCCTGATGATTGTCTCAAGAAAATCGATCAGGAACATCAATTTTAACTCCTTTTGTTCTTTGCGTAATGTTTGCTTCACTGATACTACACGTACAATTTTATCGAAATCGTGTGAGTGTAGTGACAGATTTTTTCTGAATACATACAAGTACATGTACATGTCATCTACACGTACTAGTACTTGCTTTCTTTCTGTGCCTGTCCCCGCAGTTGTTTATTCTGTGATGAGTGTGTATGTATATGATATTGCCCGGTTCCGAGGGGATTCTTTTTCAAATCCCCAAGGCGCGCAGCGCCGCGGGGATTATGAAAAATTATCCTCGCGGACACTGTGCAATATCCTGTATAGACCACACTTTTCGGGTGATCAGCAGCATGCTAGCACTAACCAGTGCAGTGTTTTTTGTTTTGTTTTGTTTTTCTTTCTTTTTTTACTAGAGCCACGTAAACCCGTCATGTGTGAGCCATGAATAAGGGGAGTGGTGGCGTGGTCTGGGATGCTCTGCCGACCTTGGGTCTCAGCTTCATCACAACCAGGCGCGCCAATAGCAGAGAGGGAAAGAGAGGGGGAGAGAGAGAGAGAGAGAGATAGAGAGAGAGAGAGAGAGATAGAAAGAGAGATATAGAGAGATAGAGAGAGAGCGGGGAGGGTTTGGGAGCAAGAGAACTAAATAAGAGAACTAAATAAAGTATAAAAAAATAAAAAAATGAGAGAGAGAGAGAGAGAGAGAGAGAGAGAGAGAGAGAGAGAGAGAGAGAGAGAGAGAGAGAGAGAGAGAGAGAGAGAGAGAGAGAGAGAGAGAGAGAGAGAGAGAGAGAGAGAGAGAGAGAGAGAGAGAGAGAGAGAGAGAGAGAGAGCAAGAGAGAGAGAGAGCGGGGAGGGTTGGGGGCAAGAGAGGGGGAGAGAACTAAATAAAGTGTAATTATATAATGCGTAAGAGGTGCACATTCAGATCCAGAGAAAAGAGTAAGCAGGGCACGAGGCGTATGGCAATATGCAGCAGTGTGTGGGAAGATGGGCATACATCTTACAAAGTGTCAGTGGCCCAGTGCCATTGCTGGGCACGGAGGTGCCGGAAGACAGACACTTTGAAACTTTGCAGCCGTTTCCGGTCAGGTGGCTGGCTGAGGACGGCGGGTGGCAGGGCATTCCATACAGGGACAGCACAGGTGGGGAAAGCTCTACGGCAACTTTCCCGGCTATTGTCTTGACAGGTAGCCCTGTCTCAAGCTGGTAGTTATGCATGTCGAGACGGACGAGAGAGAGACGAGTGGGTCGAACATGGGCTGGTCGGGGGCTTGAGAGGGAGGCAAGAGCTGACGAAGTGGGCTGGTAGGATTGGAGCACAGTAGCTTGTAAATGTAGGTACACGCAGCTACCATGTGCCGGATAGACAGGCTTTGCAGGCTCTGCTGCGCCCATCCAGACCAATGGGCAGTACTCCATTACTGGGCGTACAAACCCACGGTACACTGTAGCTCGGCTGCGAGAATCCAGGAGCGGCGAGGCCTTCCGCAGGAGCCCGAGACGCTGGCGTGCTCTGATGGCGATGGTACGGAGGTGGTTGCGGTGGGAAAGTTGGCTGTCCAGGGTAACCCCAAGAAGCTTGAGGTTACTCTCTCCATTCAGGGGGACACCCGCAAACTGTACTGCTGGGAGGTCCCAGGCGGGGCGGTGATGGTCAAAAGTCATGGCCTGGGACTTGGCTGGCTATAACGCAATTCTCCAGCTGGTGCCCCAATTCACAAGGGCATCGAGAGCATTTTGCAGGACTGTCGAGCTGTGGTCAATGGTATCCATTGTGGACAGGCACTGAAACAGCGTTGTGTCGTCGGCATAAGCGGCCAGATCTACACCTGGTGTGAACGGAACACTGAAGTGAGTTCTGACATAGTCATTTGCTCGTCGCCTCTCCGGATTTTTTCTCCAGATTTTTCCAACCGTGCTGCGACCCACAGTTAATTGGGAACTCGTGGCCTGGCATGAGTAAACATGGATGTGGCTAATTGGAACTAGGCCTTTGGCCTCTGGTTGGTGGATCTGATCATCTATCCTCTCGCACCGTTTAGGAAGCCGCATCTTATGCCTGATCATGGGGTGGTGGCGTCCCACGGAAGCGGAAAGGTGGTCCTTGACCAGGGAGTTGTATGAATCCTTGTTCTTGATCTGCCCAATACGCGAACCCGTCGAATTTTTGTTTCTCCGGGTTTTGATCCACTTGTTGGTTTGACTGAGGCGAGTGCGGAATGTAACACACTTTCTTTGGTTTGTCGCCCAAGACGAAGCCTCGTGAACTCCGCTGCTTGTTGGTAGCTGACCAGACCGTGAGAAAAAGCGGTGCTGATAATGATCAAGGCAAGACGACGAAATAGGTATATGTTATCGCATGGTT